AAAATACACTGAAACCTTTCACAGGTTTACCAACAAAACATGAGAGACGACTGTACGGAATTCAGTTCTTCTTATTTCTTAAATTCGCGGTGTCCAATACAGGCTCGCATTGCTGCAGCTGAGCATTCGTGTCAATTAAATTCTCCTATCTAATGAGACTCAGGTTGAAACTTTAAAGACGACAATATATAACGCTTTCAAGGTTAAATAAAGTCGTCTGAATTAGAATTGGCATTTTATGGCATTTTAATGATTTAGCAGAAGAAGAAACTAGTTTACAGGGCTGAGGAAACCGTGAATAAAAGGAAAAAATCCCGTACAGTGTACAGTGTACACTGTACAGTGTACAGTTCTTCTCAGTAGTCTGCACCCTTTCTTGGTAACCCTGCACTGCACTTTTTAACAAATTGACTAAGTAGATTTGTTATAATCTTTCAGGAGTTTTAATATTTGCGCAGAGTTAACCGGGACAGAGTAGAATGATGATTGTCTTTTTCATTTCTTTTAATTTTTAAATGTCGCCGACGAAATTGTAATTTATAACTGATTTTTTGTGCCCTGAACATTTGCATTAATGTATCAGTTAAAAATTTGAAATAAAATCATTCCTGTTTTTAATTTTTGGCGAAAACCATAGCCTACAATCTACATAAATTTTTTTCAATAGCCCTCACCGGGCTATTGAAAAAAGTTCAAAACGTTAGGAATTAAGTAAAAATACGTAATTTCGATTAAATGTTGGAATTTACAGGGTGTCCCTTGAAGCATTACAGTAGTAAGACGACTTGAAAGTCTTCTTTGATATTTAAAATAGTTTGCAGCATTGTATTCTTAAGCATAATTTTAGAAGTGGAATTCTAGAGTTTAAAATCATAAAATACCGATAGTCTTGGCGTTTCCAAAATGTAGTCTGTCTTTTTGTGCTTTCAATTTTACCAGAAATATGAAGATCGACAATTTTGATTTTATTTAGCGAAAGTTGAATTCTAAACGAAATTTTTAAGCACAAAAAAGGCAGACCACATTTTGGAAATACCAGGACTAGGAGAATATTTGTGATTATTGTTTCAAAAATGTAAAAGTAGATTGACGAATGAATGCCGTAAATATCGTCTTAGATCAAATACGACCTTCAAGTCGTCTTGCTACTATCATGTTTCCCGGCACACCCTGTACTAATGTTCTAACATTTGGTGATTTGAACATTGAAACATTAAACATTACTTTGTTGTGGGAAGGATGCGGAAGGAGGAAAAGTTGCCAAATTATAAAGTACAATAAACTTTTCGAAAACTTGTTTTCTAAAAAATTGTTAATAATGATTTAAAATACCGATTTAAAATTGTGTATCTTTATTTACTGATTAAAATAAGAAAGTTAAGTAAATAAAACCATCTACAGAGTGTGCACATTCCATGCAGCAGTGAAGTGGTGTAGTGTTTGAAACAATTACATCATTCCAGTACAAAGTATAAGTGATCTAAACACATATACAGTAGTATATGTACAACTACATTGTACGTGCATAAGAAGTACTGTACAAGATTCAATACTGTTTATACATACTACAGTGTACATAACAAGTATTGTACAATTGTACAATTTTAAATCTTGTGAAAGTTTAATTTCAATATGTCCTTTATTTTACATAAGAAATGTTGTACAATTTCTACACTCTATTTAGTGTACATAAGAAAATTAACTTTCAATACTTATTAATCTTTACAGTTCACATTATCTTAATGAAACATGTACACTCCATATACTGTACATTGTGCATTATACATTGTACATTGTAAACACTAATTTAAAATTAGGTCTGTGCACTGTATAGTCCAGCCTTAAAATGCAAAATATTCCTGATGAAGAACCCCGAAAAAAGTATATTTATAAACATCAATATATGATTACAATGCATGATCTTGGTCAAATATCTTTCAAATACAAAATTACATTTATATAACTTTAATAATTCGGATTGCAGGGTTGATTAGTAAAAGCTACGGAATCCAACATTATCAATCTCGTCGAAATTCTTTTTGCTGGGACGTTTCACAAACCGACCGAAGCCAGCCCGATCGATTTCGTCAAAGTTTCTCTTGACAAAGCGGCCGAATCCTGTACGATCAATTTCGTCGAAGTTCTTCTTGCTGACAAATCTTCCGAATCCAGTGCGGTCGATTTCGTCGAAATTCTTCTTGACAAAACGTCCGAATCCAGTTCGGTCGATCTCATCAAAGTTCTTCTTACTCTTTCCAAAGGTGAGGCCACTAAAAATTAAAAACATTAAATATCTGATAACGTGGAAATATACTTTTATACAAAATACTATCTTAGTAAAAGCTATGATAATAACATAATTAATATTTCATGGAATAAGTCTGTAGTGGTTCCTCAGGAAACTTTTCTTGTCAACTTTCATAAAAGTATTTTCATTCTTTTTAGTTTTATGACAAATGTTCAAATATACTATTTCCTACTTTTTATAGTTCTAGATAGTATTTATCTTGAATTATTCAAAATACTGATTTTTTATTTCAACATTTATTTTCATCGATCTTTTCATCCTGATTGATTTCTTTTAATAAATAAAGAAGAAGTCAAACCATGGAAAAGATTGAACCTTTGATACAGGAGGGGTCAAACCATGGAGCGGATAGAACCCTGGATACAGGAGGAGTCAAACCATGGAGCGGATATAACCCTGGATACAGGAGGAGTCAAACCATGGAGCGGATAGAACCCTGGATACAGGAGAAGTAAACCATGGAAAAGAAAGAACTTTTGATTTCAGAGAAGTAAACAATTGAGTAAATTGAACCCTGGATACATGTGAAGTAAACCATGGAACGGGTGGAACCCTGGATACAGGAGAAGTAAACCATGGAGCGGATAGAACCCTGGATACAATAGGAGTAAAGCATGAAGCGGATAGGACCCTGGATACAGAAGAAGAAGACAACGGAGCGGATAAAACCCTGGATACAGGAGAAGAAAACCCGGATAGAACCCTGGATACAGGAGAAGAAATCATGGAGCGGATAGAATCCAGGATACAATAGGAGTAAAGCATGGAGCGGATAGGACCCTGGATACAGAAGAAGAAAACCCGGATAGAACCCTGGATACAGGAGAAGAAATCATGGAGCGGATAGAACTTTGGATATAGGAGAAGTAAACTATGGAGCAGATAGAACCCTGGATATAGGAGAAGTAAACCATGGGGCGGATAGAACCCTGGATAAAGGGGAAGTAAACCATGGAGCGGATAGAGCCCTTGATATAGGAGAAGTAAACCATGGTGCGGATTGAACCTTCGATTCAGAAGAAGTAAACCAAAGGATCTGAAAGAACTTTGGATACAGGAGAAGTAAACTTATAAGTGGATTTAGCCCCGGATACAGGAGAAGTAAACCAAGGAGCAGAAAGAACCCTTGGTACAAGAGAAAACAACCTATGGAATGGATTTAACCCTTGATACCGGAGTAGTACACCATGGACCGGATTGAGCTGCTATTGACCAAAAGTTCCAATAAAAAGGTTAGCCTAGAGTTGGCAGACCTTATTGCATAATTTCTCAAGTCTTGTTAATAAAACCATGAAACTATCATGACAATAACCAAAAGTAATCATTCAATATCAAAACTTTCTTGGTTTAGTTCTGTGAGGCAAGGAAATCAACACTTTCAATTTCAATCTTGTAGACGAATAAATATACATAGACTAGACCTTTTTTTCTTATTGAATGTAATTACTGATATTGTACATTTAAGGAACTTTTTATAAATTGGTTTTCAGAATATCAGAATATATAGATTTTAATAGACTGACACAAAAACACTGTAATCCCATGGAAAACCATGGAGAGATATATTTCATTAGTTTTCTTGTGTTTTCATATTTTGATCTTTTCCAACTATTTAACTAATCAATCCCAGGGAGAATTGCATGCAGGACAGAAAGACAAGAACTATAGTTTCAGGACTTTCCTGACTAGGGGAATGTCTTCTGGGAATGATTGGAAACCAGGTTTAACAAGTCGGGAGTCCTCATCGGCATGAAACTTTTTAATAATGTTTTTCCTCGATCTATTGTTTATCAGTGTTTTAGTTAATTAAGAAAATTGTATTGATACTTTAAAACCATTAAAAATATATTGGAACAAGGAATATCTAGAAAATTGATGATAATACATAAAATCGCAGCATTTATAGACTTTTCCATTTTCTATTTTAGATTAAGTGCATGATAGGATTTCCAAGAAAAGTTTTGAAGACCAGTATTTAAAAAAAAAGATTTTTGCTTTGCTTTTCTGTTTTGAAGTTTTAAGTTGGGAACACAAATTGAAATTTAATTATCTTTACACAAAAGAAATAATAATTTTGGTATTCTTTGAATCACTGGTAGGGTTTTAAACCTATTCAAATTTGAACCCCGTTAAAGTTTCCTGCTTTTAAACATGAATGTACTGTAATTAGGAAGAGTGTTATGAGGGCTTGTTTTATGTTTATATATTAAATATAAACCAAAGAATAATGCACTGTCACCACCTTAGCATTATCCAGGAAACCAGAGCTTGCACTATGCATGAGGTGAAAGTAACTGATTAAATAGTTAAAGTTTTAAAATTTTAAGATGAATTTTTTTTAAAGTTTACACCATTTGGGTTGCATAGGGATTTGAAATGTTTGGGGCGAGTAATAAGTTCCAATTAATAGTATCTTAATTATCAAGAGTTCAATTGAGTAGTTTGTAGTGTGGCGTATTATAATTTCCACCGAAAAATGTAATCCTGTAAAAAAAAGGTGGAAAAACTAAGCAATGAGACGACTTGTCTAAGTTGTGTAATCTATTTTTCTACCTAAACTGGATCCAAGGTTTAATTTTCTTTTTTCTGAAACCATGTTGCTGTCTCGTGAGTTTTAAGTTGTTTAATAAAGAAGAAAAACTGAGGAAACCGCAAACAGGCAAAACAAACATGGAGTTTTTTATAAAGACAAGTAAACATTAATCAAGATATAAAGTTTTTTCTTGTGTTATTAATTTACAATAACAAACCTAACCCATAATTATCCGTTAAAATATCACGAATATTTTAAATAATTTATTTTTTCTTGACTTATGAATTCAAAACAAACTGATTATTAGCCTAAAAACTCTTAACCTCTCATCCCCAAATCCTCATATCTTTGCATCCTGATTTATAGATTAAACAAGCAAGTTTAAACTATCAAAGGTTTAAGTTTGAGGCTGGTAATCAGTTCCTTTATGCTATATTGGAAAAGCATCGATACTACATGCAATATCAGGGATCAAGATCCTTTCCAGAAAATCAATTTAGTGATAAATATATTCAAGATTAATCATTCCTGTATATTACAAAGCAGAAAGTCTGACTAATGTGATAAACAATATTTCATCTTTTCCTTTGAACCCTCTTTCCTTTAAAGTGATTGTTTGGCGTACTTTTAAGTTTTTTCCAACATTATTCTTTAAACCTTCGTCTAAATTATCCATGCTTTTGTATCTAAAAATTTATAATTTTCATTTGTGGCTTCTTTACAAAAATGCCTTGCTAATTATTTAAGCAGAGACAGCAAAAAAATTCCGAATTTTTCACCTATAAAAATGACGATACTTTTTCCTCAATGTTGCTCAAAGGTTTAAGGGTACCATTGATGCATTGTGAATATTTTAATAACAAGTTGGAAAGAGAGGATCAGTGGATGATGATTAGTTCCTCCAACTGAGAAAATTAAATGTATGTATTCTCTGCTGATCTAGGTTCGGGTTCAACTATAGAATCCTGAACTCCTCATTAACACCGGAGATAGAGAGCCTTGAAACCATTCAAGTTACTGAGGAGGACATTTCACCAATTCATTGTTGCACAAATTAGATATCTTAAAAACTTCTAATGGAAAGGCAATAAATTGCGGAACAGTACATGTTTTTTATAATTTAAAAGTTTATCTAACTCAAAATGTTGACAAAATACGGCATAGAAATGAAATTCTAAAACTTTATGTCGGGGGCCCTTTTGATTTCTAAACATTTTTTAAAAGTTATTAAACATTTTGAGAGAAATCATAAAAGTAAAAAATGTGGTCTTATTTTGCACAAAGTATATGTACGTCAATTAAAATAAGGTGAACTGTAAATGTCGAAGAAAAAATTTAATATTCCCCTTTAAAAATACATGTTCATATTTTAGATAATTTGGATTGCGTGCCAATTTTGCCTGATTTCAATCAAGAGAAAGAATAGTATTTATTGATGTTTTCAAAATAACAAAGCTTTTATTGTCAACGCCAAAACTTTTATTCCACAAAAGTAATTTGATTTATTGTTTAATCTATTTTTAAATGGGTGTATCCGGTGTCACATATCAAATCATCTTTCCCTCGCTGTTCATCTCCCCTTCTGTTGTAACCATTTCATGACGTTGTTAGACATCAAAAGCACTTGTTATGGCACTTGACAATTTTATTAATATATTTTTATTGGGAAAAACATTAAAAATTATCTCGAATAAATATTGTTTGTTTAATTATTTGAAAGGAAGACATCATTTGAGAGGAAACAACTTAATTTTTCTTATTTCCCCCCGTAATAAAACATTTTAGAGCTAAATGCACGTTTTATTATGCTAATTATTATTTGTTCATGTTTTACAAATGCTTTTTATTTCTAAAATTGTATTGAAGTGGTTAAATCTTAAAGGGGAGATTAAATGTCGCAGGGAAGATGAACTGATTAAGAACACCGGAGTGAATTGATCCCATCCTTTATGGTATCATAGTATACACTTTATATTCTCTTTCAAGGATTTTCTTGATTTTCTTGCTAATTTCAAGAACCAGAAGAACGGACCATTTGGAGTTCATGACAGGAACAAAAAATCAACCAATCCTAACTACCAAACAGACTATGAAGACCATAGAGATATCTATTAAAGAGAAAGGTAGACATTGGTTCAGTCCAACCCAACTCTGCAAATATAATCAACCTTCATGAAAAGATAACCTGCTACATTAAATACAAAAACCACGTTTTAAATCAATTTTAAAGTTTAAGCTATTGTTGGTGTTACAGAAAGTACATTATAGTTTGTGAATAGTATTCTGATTACTATATCTCTTCATGGTATGATGACCTATTACACCTAGAAATTATTATTTCCTAGAGCTAACACGAAATATGAAATATATTTATTTCTTACAATTTTACTTCTCCTTCCATCGGTTTACTATAAGTTATATGAACATTTGTTCATCAACCATTTCAACTTCTTAAATTATTTTTTTCTAAAATTATGATCAAAGGCTTTAATCTTCTTTCATTTAGATTTTCTGCCGGAAAAGGTACTTTGATGGTTTACGTATCAACAGAAAGACATTATGAATTTTAAATTTTTTTTGCATCAAATATTTTTAAATATCTTTGAAAATTAAAACTTTTCCTGTATCATGTTTTTATTCTCAATGGAATTACGGTTTAGAAAATAGGTTAAAAGAATGGTTTAAATTAACAGTATACCTAGATATTTAACTTTAAAGAAATGTGTAGACCTTTTTTTGAATTTATGTTGTTGTAATTACCTTTAATATTTTAATGATCGTTTCTCGAGTAATTAAAAATTGAATTCTATATTTGCTTTCTGCAAAGATGCTAACAATTCTCAACGTTTTGTTCCGTTGCTATGAAAATGCAGATGAGCAGATATGTTTTGAAATTTCAAATATTTTTAAACCAAACTTTTTAGGTCTTAAATTGTGAGAATATAAAAAACTCTCATATTGTCGGTTTTACCCTTGGGTTTAATTCTATTAAATGCAAAGATTTTAAATTAAAATTGCAAAAAATAAAAAAAATTACCTCATAGCGTCAAACCCACGCTTGGTTTCAGAATCACGGAGAATATTTCCGTTTCCAAGGTTGTCCATCTGACGGAGGATATTTCCACGTCCAAGGTTGTCAAGTTGTCTAAGAATATTTCCACGTCCAAGATTGTCCAATTGTCTTAGAATGTTTCCATCCCCAAGGTTGTCAAGCTGTCGGAGAATGTTTCCGTCTCCAAGGTTGTCAAGTTGTCTCAGAATATTTCCCCGTCCTAGGTTGTCCAGCTGTCTAAGGATATTCCCCCGTCCTAGGTTGTCAAGTTGTCTTGAATATTCTCCTTCTCCGACATCTTCCGGAAGTCTGCTGTCCTCTGAATAAAGTATTCATAAATAAATAATTCGACTGAGTTCAGGACTTTTGATTGAGCTCAAACCAATATACAACGCTTTAAGTTTGAACTTAATTTACAAAACGAAAACTTTTAATTTACAGCAATTAAGAAGTTCAAAAACAGCTGACTTGCAAATTTGCAAAATTCTCATTGGTCGAGAGCAAATTTGTTGGCATCTGATTGGGCCCCCTTGACAGACATCCAGAAGGAATTAACTTATTCGGTCGGAACAGAAAAGATTTAACATGTTTAACAATATTAAAGTTATGTACTTAAAAACTTATATTAATTCTCTAAATAACTAATTCACATGTAAGTTAGCTAAGCTTACACGTGCTCTATAAGATGGAGTTTATTCACAATCACACAGTTTTCAACAAGATCCCATTAAAATATTTTCTTTTGAGCAAATTTTTCTTCGTGATCTTTAAAACTATTCTTTTAAACCTAACAAAGAATTTTTAAAAAATATATTCATCCCATTTTTTTACACGACAAAAATGTTTAAGATCTTAGTAAAGTTAAATATTAAAAATGTGACATTAACTGCACCTTGTGCACTTTGTAGATTTGAAAGTAATGTTTAGTAAAAAAAATTTGGAAATAATTTTAGATTTGAGGATGATCTTACAAATTCTTAACTGATTTCATAAAAATGTAGCATTTAGTACATTTAACAGATCTAATGAGAAAATTAGACAAAAACCTCTACAAATTACCTTTTACTAATCATATGTGATGATCATAATTAGACCTAAATGACGTGTTTCTGATTAAAGCTAATTATTGTTCAAAGCTTCATAAATCATCAATGTAATTAATCATTAGTATAAATATAGGTTTAATTACTACAATATATTAGGGGTTCCTGTTAATCATTGTTTTTAACTTTAAATAAAATGATATGAAAAATTATTTCTCTTTACTCATACAGCGTTTAGCATATGAAATGTTTTTTTTTTCAGTTGTAATCATAAAATTTGAGATTTCTATCGCAAGTTAAAAAGATGTTCCAAGATTTAAGATAAGTTAAAAGCAAAAAAGCCTTTAAATGTCGTCTTCCACATAGATGGTTACCCATCAAGGAGATGGCCTTACAGAATATAAAGCAGCATTTCTCTTACAGGCTTGGTTTCAATTTAAAACGTATTTAATCATTTATTTCCCAAATTATTAAGTAGAGCATATTAATTTTCAAGGAAAAAAGATCGACTAAATTGAAGCTTCAGATCGTTATATTTAAAGAGTTTTTGGTCGTCATTAAAGTAGTATACTTTGTGGGTCACCCTGTATAATACTTGTTAGTGGGGCTCAATTTTCTATTATCTAAATGATAATTCATCGAACTTTTAGGGCTCTGTAATAAATATTTTTATTATTTTCTTTCACTGATCATATTCGTAACTTGTATTTGATGCTATTTAGTTTGAACTACTGCCTTTTTAAGTTTGAACTATTGACTTTTTGAACTATTGGTCGTCTAAACTATTGCACGTGGTACCACGTGTAGTAGTTCAAACGACTAATAGATCAAAAATGTCTGAGATCACTATATTTCTGCCAATTTGAGCCATATTGTTCATTAGAACTATTATTAAAAAAAGCCAAAATGAGCCGAAAAATAGTTCATATGATCAAAATAATTGTTTTAAATAGTTCAAATGAGCCAAAAAATATTTCATATGATAAAAAAATTGATTAAACGGACCAAAAAATAGTTCGAATGAGCAAAATATAGTTCAAATGAGCAAAAAAATAGTTCATACGAGCAAAAAATAGTTAAAATGTGCCAAAAAATAGTTCAAATGAGCAAAACAATAGTTCCTGCGAGCCAGAAAATTGCAGCGCAGCGCTCGGCCTCCTGTCCTAGCTGCAGCGGTTGGCCCAGAAAGTTTCTTAACCTAACCTAACCCTAAATGTATACTAATTTTGTTGAAAATTGTTGAAGTTTTTTTGGCTCATTTGAATTATTTTTTTGCTCATTTGAACTTTTTTTTTGCTCATTTAAACTATTTTTTCTCATTTGAACTAATAAATGCTTCATATTTGATTTCAACTATTTTTTTTGTCATTTGAATTATTTTTATGTCCATGGTGAAATATTTTTTGATTATTTAAACTATTTTTTCACGAAATATAAAATTTTAAATTGCATATTTAATAGCTCAAATGAGTAAAAATTTGTTGTTTGAACTAGGAAATGACGTCTTTATCAGTAGTTAGAATGAACAATAGTTCAAACGATCAATATTTCAAATGATCAATAGTTCAAACGGTAGTAGTTCAAATGCGGATCCATGATTGTATTTTGGAGAATGAAAATGTTTATATTCGTTTTTAAAAATATTTTATAACCATAATAATACCTTTAATGTCCAAGCACTTTACACACTAATTGTACAGGGTGAAATGATGAATGTCGCATGATTTTGCGAAATTAAAAAATTTCAATTTATTTAAACAAAAAGCTTTCCTCGTTCAAAGGAAAAGAAAGATCAATGCATGCAGTCGATCCATTAATATTTTAACAAATCTACTATACAGTTGTAACCTATAACGCACATAGATCCAGACTGCTAAGAAAAATTTGCATTAATTTTAAGACTGGGTCCAGTCCAGAAATTCTACCTTACTAACTCTCTTATGAATTTTTGTAGCCCTAGACTTTTACATTTAAGAACTGTAAACCTCCTGCTTTTAGCCTTAGCATAAAATATATGCTTGTCAAAATTCTTTTTGCATGAGAGCACGCAACCTTTAAAACATTTCATTGTACGTCGTTGATAATAGACATTCCACTGCAAACTAGACAAGAGAAGAAGATCAAATTATTGCTAGATTACTTGAACAACTTTGTGACCTTTTAGCCCATCTATTTTGATTTTACACTCAAGAAATGAAATTTATCCGGATACACATGCTAGAAATTTAAACATTTTTGATCTTCTCGATAGATCTTCAATTTAAAAGGATTTATGATGTGCATTTTAGATTCCATCTATATTTGATCTTTATACTGTGTGCTAGCTTGGGAACCCAGCATGGCCCAAGGGAGTCATAACTATTCCCACCGATTACCCGCCCCTTGTCGTAAACTACGATTTTAACTATTTTCCCCGATAAAAGTCGACCCACTCAACTTAAAATATCATAACCAAACTAAGAGATTCCCGTAGTTCTACCGAGTTCCCCAATCAAACTTTAAGGCAAATCAGTCCAGGGGCTCCTGAGTTATGATCGGACAAACAAACAAACAGACAAACAGAGATTACAACTTTATTGATATATATAGATAGTGTATCGTCATTTATCTATCATTTATGTATAAAATATTGGATATTTAACGTTTTATCGTAATTTGTGGACAGTAGATATTATATATTATTGTTGGATAATTTGATACAGTGTATAGGACATGGTATATCTGTGAAGTTGTAATCTATGTTTGTCTGTTTTTGTGTATGTCCGATCATAACTATGAACCCCTTGACAGATTGGCCTAAAAATTGTGATGGAGGGACTGAGACAACCACATAAATGTTCCTAGGTTGGTTAAAAAATTCTAAATCACAATTTTAAAGGAGAAAGTTTAGTTTCCGGCTAATCTTGAGTTCCAAGCTACGCCTACTTTGTCTATGAATATTTGACATTCGCTTTTTTCGTAAAAATTAGAAATTGCATTTTACTAGATCTTGTATAAGTAGAGCCTACATTGTAGACTGCAGAGTATGAATATGGCAAATGAACATTTTTGTATAAGAAGTGTTATTTAAGTACGACCTACATTGTACTTTTTGAAAATTATACATTAAATCTTGCTAGATCTAGAATATGCAGTGTATGGCAGTGTAAGGACATTTGTTTACAAAGTATTTTTGTCTTTGTAAACATTTTATTATTGTATTTTGCTAGTTCTTGAGTAAGTTTTGCATGAAAAAAGGACATTAGTATAGCTCTCCGTATTGCTTAAAACGTTATATTCCAAATATTATGTTAGTATGGATGAATTGAGCTGCAGGGGAACCAGGGGTCCTGTTTTAATTACTTCAATAAACTAAACTAAATGACCGGAGAATAAACAATACAGAGAACAGAGCCCGTTCTCTCTATTATAGATACTAGTGGTCGTGTAGTTCACATACTTTGGGGGACAATAGTTTGGCCGCTAGATGTCTCTCGTATGAATTATCTATCTATCAGATAAGAATTTTGCGTGAGACTTCTAGCGGCCAAACTACCCAAAGTACGTGAACTTCACGACCACTGTTTAAACATTATTATGGAGAGAACAGGCTCAGGTGAAAACATGAAACTCACATTTTGTTACTTTTTTATCCGAATTTCAACTGCAAAAAAAAATATGTAAACCATTTTAAAAAATGCTACATCAAAGCAGTTTGTTTTCTTAAATATACAAATTAACTTATTTCAATCGAGTCAATCAGCTGACACTCTACTTAATGCGAATAAATTGTTTAATTCACGTTCGAAGGATCGTACATTTTGTTAAAACTTTATCTACCAGTCTTAAATGAAAATGGGAGGTTCTGTATTTGGAAATAAAAATAATTGTTGGATTCCAGTAACACTAAACAAATAACACTAAAATGTTAAACAATATTTTAATGCTAAAATAAAATTCTAAAAGTGTCGATAAATGTTCAAACAACATTAACTACATTCTTTAAACAGTGTACAGTAGTCTGTACATACTTGTAGAGTTGTACACTGTACACATAAGGAACATAAGGAAACGTAATCTGCAAAATGCTCCACTGTGGTCCCCACAGGTATTATTGAGAAAAAAAGAAGTTTTGGAAGACAAAGATGCAACCGATAAATTCCTTTTTTATGTACTGTAGTATTTTTGCATAATTTAGACTTTTTCTTGTGTGTCTAGATATCTAGATAAGGCCGGGTGTGCAATGTAAAATCTTTGTGAAGGGTTGAAACTTTTAATTAAATTGAATTATGTTCAGGATTTAATCCTCTAAACACTGTACACACCTCAGTGGCAATAAAAGTTATACTTTTTAATAGAAGAGTATGTGCCTGATAAAAAGTCATAGATCAATATGTTGTAATCGAGCTTTGCTATTGGTAAAAAAAAACACAAAACGCGACACTCTGAAATTCTATTATATGTTTAGTTAAAACTGTAGATTTAACGAATTTAAATGAGTTTACCCGAGTTAATTTAGAGTTCCGTAAATCTAAAAATTCGCAGTTAAATTTATAAAAGTAAATTTGTTTTAGAAAATTTGTTTCTACAATCAATATTTGGGATCTAGAGTTCACTGGGTAGATAAAACAAATATTAAAATCTAAAATTCTGTGGTAGGCGATTATATCAATGCAATTAAGACGACTTCCAATTTCAATTTTGATTTATATCAAGCTTTCAAATCGCATGGACACACAAAAAATGAAAACAAAGACAAGCTGTCAAATAAAAAAGCTTCTCTTTAATTACTTGTAAACTTGTAATTCGAAAAAAGCATGTTAACAATAAAAAAGTCGTCCTCATTATATTGGTATTATCGCCTGCCACCGAATTAAATTAATATTTATTAAAAACTTGCTAAAAAATTGTGATCAAACAACTGGTTGTAAGGTCATGAAAGTAAAAATGAGGTAACATCACGTCACACAATACTGGGATTATGAAATGTAAATAAAAAATAAAAATCTGTTCTAAACCTGTTTTAAACCTGTTTTAATCCTGTTCTAAACCTGTTTTAAACCTGTTTTAATCCCTGGAGAAATAATTAAAATCAAACTCACCATTAATTCTTGGTTCTGCTCCATCAACGGACAGGATCTGAAAAATATAAATTCTTAGTTTACTAATTTAATAAATCTAAAAGTTAGGATGATAACAAAAATGGTATTTTCCAGGGGCAGATACAAAGGGGGGGGGGCAGGACCTTCGCAACCCCCTGATCCGGATTCAGGGGGGGGGCGTCCTGAGATTTAAAAATAGCTTTTCAATAGCACCTAAGGGAAAGAAAACCTAGTGCAAAACAGGAAAAATATCTATCTTAAAAATCATGTCATTTGTAAGAATTCTTAATTTTCACTTTTCTGTTTTTATCAACATCAACACATTCTCCAGATTAGTTCGCTGCGTTATTAATTCTCTTTCCAGACAGTTCTACTCTTTCAATTCTCTTTCCATATAATTCTACTCTACCAATTCTCTTTCCATTTAGATCTACTCTATCAATTCTTTTTCCATATAATTCTACTCTACCAATTCTCTTTCCATATAATTCTACTCTACCAATTCTCTTTCCAGATAATTCTACTGTATCAATTCTCGTTCCAGATAATTTTACTCTACCAATTCTCTTTCCATATAATTCTACTGCACCAATTCTCTTTCCATTTAATTCTACTCTTTCAATTCTCTTTCCATTTAATTCTACTCTTTCAATTCTCTTTCCATAAAATTCTACTCTACCACTTCTCTTTTCAGTTAATTCTACTCTACCGATTCTCTTTCCATAAGAATCTCTTTTCTACCAATTCTCTTTCCTTTTCCGCTGGACTACAAATGCCAGATACTTCCGCTGTTCTACGAATTCTAGCAGTTCTCAGAAATGTAAATTAAATGTTAATGTCCAATATTCGATGCTAGAAAATATTAAAATCAATTAGGTTTTGAAAGCTATGAAACCCTTCCCTCCATCCTCCCCCACCCCCCGACTCTGGAAGAAAAGGTTAGAATGGAGAGAAACCTCTTAAAGTATGTTTTTGATTTATAATGCATAGAATACACTGTGCAGAATTTAAATCAATTAAGCTTTGTAAAATTATTGTTTTCAACACTTATTTACATTTCTTAAATAAAAATAAATCAAACGGTTCAAATTCAACATCTTTGTAACTCAAGTCTGAATACATTTTTCTACGAATGAGATACATCAACGCATTAGAACGTAATTTTTTTAATGAAATTCGGTCCTAAATTGAGGCTATATGGCATCATCTACTGGGTTTGTTTAAGACACTCTTAATTTTTCATCGAACTCTCTTACTTTTCTTTTATAGCTTTAACTATCATTATTTACTTTTTCAAATCAATTTTTTTCTCTTTTTGGTCCCTGTAGCCTTTTTTGATTGACTCAGTCTCCATTGGGAGCTAAATACCCCTAAATATCTTTTCAGTTAGTTTTCAGTTCTCCCAGGGGGGGGGGCTAGCCTCTAATATTACTTATTTTAGAATCTGGATACAATAAAGTACAGTAAACAAACAGAACGTGCTGTTCTGCAGATTATAATTTCTAGTTCGTCAGAAAACTAGGGATTACAGGGATTAAGCAGTATTATTCTAATTGAGCTAAGGGTAGGGAAGGAAAAAGAAGAAAGAGAGAAGGAGAAAGGGAAAAATTGAGGACGGGGGAGAAATATGAAGGGTGGAGGAGAGAAGTTGAGAAAATGTGTAGGGGACAAAATTGCATGGAAAAATGGAAAACAGGTTGAAGAGGGAAGAGGAGAAGGGGGCAAGAATACAGAGAGGGTAAATGGTATTAGGGAGAATTGGAAAAAGATTCATGGAAAAAGGGGGAGGGAAGCAAACGAGAAGGGTGCAAAAAACAAGGAAGGAAAGGGAAAAGAATGCAGTGGAGAAAGAGAATTGCAGTGTGGGAGAAATGGAAAGGGAAGAGAGGGAGAATGGGAAAGGGAAGAGAGGGAGAATGGGAAAGGGAAGAGAGGGAGAAATGGAAAGGGAAGAGAGGGAGAATGGGAAAGGGAAGAGAGGGAGAAGTGGAAAGGGAAGATAAGGAGAATGGGAAAGGGAAGATAGGAAGAATGGGAAAGGGAAGATAGGAAGAATGGGAAAGGGAAGATAGGAAGAATGGGAAAAGGAAGATAGGGAGAAGGGGAAAAGAAGAGAGGGAGAATGGGAAAAGGAAGATAGGGAGAATTGGAAAGGGAAGATAGGGAGAATGAGAAAGGGAAGATAGGGAGAAGGGGAAAGGTCGAAGCCTGGTTTCAGATATCATGTTCTTCAGTAATATAATTATAAGGTATAGTTAAATAACATTCCACAGGGAATATTTATTATCAAGAAACAGAGTCAACAATTGTTGACATGTCTAATGTTCACTTCAAAGCCAGTAAATTTGTATTTGCAACTTTTAATCCAGTGTCGGCCATTTTTCTTTTTAAGTTATTTCAAAAAGAAGTTTCCTTTGGACACATTTGGTAGGATTCTGAACTAAAAAGTAAGGGCCAAGCAGGATTATGTACTCAAAAGTAAGGGGTAAGTAGGATTATGAACTGAAAAGTAAGGAGTGCATAAACGTAAGGAGTAAGCCGGATTCTAGCCAAAAAGTAAGGGGAAAGCAGGATTCTAAACTTAAAAGTAAGAGTTAAGCGGGATTATGTAAGCCAAAAGGTAAGGGGTAAGCAGGATTCTGAACTGAAAAGTAAGGAGTAATAAACGTAAGGAGTAAGCAGGATTCTGAACAAAAAAGTAAGTGATAAACAGGATAATCAACTAAAAAGTAGGGGGTAAACAGGATACTCAACTAAAAAGTAGGGGGTAAACAGGATACTCAACTAAAAAGTAGGGGGTAAACAGGATACTCAACTAAAAAGTATGGGGTTAACAGGATACTCAACTAAAAAGTAGGGGGTAAACAGGATAATCAACTAAAAAGTAAGGGATTAGCAGGATTCTGAATTAAAATGTAAGTTGTAATAAATATTGTTCAATTTTCTTATGTATATTTTATCAGTTTGTCTGCTGAAAATTGTGACAGTTTGTCTACTTAATTACAACAGTTTGTCTGCTGAATTGTAACAGTTTGTCTGCTGAATTGTAACAGTTTGTCTGCTGAATTGCAACAGTTTGTCTGCTGAATTACAACAGTTTGTCTGCTGAATTCCAACAGATTGCCTGCTGAATTCCAACGATTGTCTGCTGAATTACAACAGTTTGTCTGCTGAATTGTAACAGTTCGTCTGCTGAATTGTGACAGTTTGTCTGCTGAATTGTGACAGTTTGTCTACTTTATTACAACACTTTGTCTGCTGAATTGTGACAGTTTGTCTGCTGAATTGTAACAGTTTGTCTGCTGAATTGTAACAGTTTGTCTGCTGAATTGTAACAGTTTTTCTACTTAATTACAACAGTTTGTCTGCTAAATTGTGACAGATTGTCTACTGTAGTGCAAAAACAGTAATAAATCTCTAAGCTCTTTAAAACCTTTATTTGCGTAAATTCTGTCCCCCCCCCCCCGCCATACCTTTGACAAGAGGATAAACTTGAGTTTTGTATTAATCACCAATATATGGACGGATAAAAATGATAAATAAGTCACGATCAAACCACAATTATCGATAAAACAACCCAAATTAAATCGAGCCAAAAACCCCACTTATTTCAAAAGTTTTGAAAGCCTGCAGATTTGATTAAATAAAGATGTTACTCTAGTTGACTAACATAATGAAAGTTACAGATTTTTTCTATTATTTCGAAATTTTCAATAATCTCAAAAGATCCTAAATTAAAATTTTGGATCATGAATAGATTTAATTAAAATATAAACTATAAATATATCCAAAATATCTCAAGTTCAGTTTTCAATCCCTTTTTAAGTTTTTTTTTCAGTAATGCTTTTGATAATAGCAAGGTGAGGCTTATATCGGCGCTTTGCGCCCTCCTGTGGCTCGGAAAGTCGCAATTTCTAATCGTTCAGCGTTCTCAAAATTTTCACGGATTTTTCTGTTTCAATTGACGCATTTAAAAAAATACTAAATATCGACATTTCGTATGGGACATATTTTTATTTTTGACATAAAAAATGTATGCCTGAACAGTTCATCTGTTTTGACGTTTATTGAATACAGATAGACAAGCAAGCTTAAGATGTTTAATTGATATCTAGTAAAGCCATTAAAATTTCAGTTTTAGAAACTCTACAATATTCGCATGTTTTCAAATTATAACTTTGTTTTAAATAAATTTAATTATGCACTGTTTGTCCTCATGCGACTCCGTTGGGAAACTAATAATTAATTTAGCGAGAGTTTCCGTTCTACTGGAGAGGACATTTTTGTATCTACCTGCACTGCGGAGAGCAGTAAACAAAGGAACCCTTCTCTCTGCATATCAGGGTTGGAATGAACTGCTCCGGTGACGGTTTAACCTTATATTGGCTCCAGGTTTCGGGTTTTTGTCTCCGGCGGCGGTCTCTCCAGTAATCTACAGGTTTCAGAAAATGAATGGAACATTTCTTCCCCCCCCCCACACCTGCTCGTAAATCTGTATCAGTTGAAATAAAATCAAATTAAATTGTTTTATTAAATAAATTAGCATTTTAATTATTTTCCAACCATTTTACTACTCTGAAGAGAATGGCTGCTAGGGATTCCCGAATGACGGAAGTCGTATCGTCCCAGCTCCAGTTTAACACAAATATAAAATAAGATTAAATTATCCAGGTTCAAGGTTTTTACTTTCCCACGCATATTAAAGTTTTCATTTGCCTCTAGAAAGGATTTCTATTTATTATTAAATTTATTGTATTTCAGAGCGCTTTGCACGGTGCACCCTCTTAACTTTCTAGTTCTAATTTATTCTTTTATTGCAGTCATTCTCTAACTATAGATCATTGAACAATGTATTTGGTGCATTTTTTACCCCTATATAAATCTAAAGAATAAGAGTAATTGTCTAAACTAAACCTATGCCATGTAAGGTTCAACACAAAATGTTGTCTCAATAGATTCAGCTGATGCATTTTTGTTAGACATGGAAATAAATATTTCTCCTAGGACCTCAGAGCTCTTTCAAAATTAACCTTTTTTTCTTTTTCTTTTAAACAGATTATTTGCAAGTTCGTTCTCTAAAATTGATATGAACACTACTTCAAAAACGGACGAACGTGAAGGACTAGAAACTTGTTTACAGTGGTCAACTGAACATGATAGTAGAGAAGTGGCTTAGAAAGGGTCGTCGATAGCAATTAATTAATGTGTATCAAATATGGATTTTACGACTTTACAAAGTTTTCTATAAAACTCCGGCATTTTTGAAAGCACATAAAGGCAAACCCCATTTTAGAAATGCCAGAACTAAGATAATTATATGATTAAAGTTTCAAGAATCATAAATATTTAAAATCTATGCCGCAGAATATCTTAAGATGACGACATTACATTTTCAAGAAAGTTTCATGTTTTGTGGGACACATTTTTTGATAAAATAAAAAAAGTTCGAAGATTAATCTTCTGTAACTTGCAAAACTACGTAGCTGATTTATACTCCTCTTCTGACCTACGCCAAATCCGCTATACTACACATCCGACCTACTAGCACGCGGTTTTACAGCTACTATATGGACTTGTGGCCGCAGCGCCCAGCCCCCTAGCCTGTCCTAGCCGCAGCGCTCGGTCCAGAAATTTTCTCAAACTACCCTAACCCTCCAGTAATACAAAAATAAACACGTGGCGTAGGTCCGATATTGCAGTAGGTCGGAAAGTTGGTAGGTCATAAGTTCAGTAGGGGGGATGTTGCGTATAAACGAGGTAAGTTTATCTTTTAAACACCAAAATGTGGGTGCTTAACTCGTTTTTCTTTTTTGTTGTTTAATGCACATAGAATTAAATGTGAAATGTAGAATCAATGATAAAAATACAATAATGAATGATGTCTATAAGCTGTATCCGCTCAATGATAAAAATACAATAATGAATGATGTCTATAAGCTGTATCCGCTCAATGATAAAAACAATTAGAAAAGAAGATTAAAAGTAAAAAGTTTGAGTTCCAGTAGCTGCGCTGTAAATTCTCCGTATTTTCTAGTCTGCCATCTTGAATTTTCCTAATTTCTTCTATACGTAGAACCTGTTATAAAGCACTCAAACCAAATTATTGAGCACTTACCAACCTTATCTCTAACCTTCTCCAGCTATTAATGGTATTGGAGCAATTAATGGAACAAACCTGATGGATAAAGTAAACATGGGGTTTGTTGACATACAACAACCAGGTTTGAGCAATTAATGGAACAAACCTGATGGATAAAGTAAACATGGGGTTTGTTGACATACAACAACCAGGTTTATCATCTGTAAATACAAAATCCACTCACACACGTCAATTCAGAGCCAACATACATTATATATATATATATATATATATATATACTAGGCTTTTAGCCATCTTCTATTTTAACTTTTAATTGTTGCTTTATCTGTATCTGTGAGCATCTTCTCTTTGTACAGTATAAAACAAAAACAAAAAAGTTTTCGGATTTCATAATATTTTTTCGCACATTTTCAAAATTTTACAAAAATAAAAAACTTGTAAACACAAATTTTTAAGATTTCGATAATTCATAAACCTTCCCTGGGGTTACGTAGGTTCCCCACAAAATTTGGGCCCAATCGGTTTAGCCATTTTGACGTTTATTGGATACAAAGCACTAATCAGAACAGCTTCAGAGCTCCCGATCCTAATCAGTCAATATATACTTATATATTTGGCTTGTCTAACTTTTGATTTTGTTTTTGTTTGTTTTTATCCATGCAATAAACGTCAGAACGGCTAAACAGATCAGGTCCAATTTTTTGTAGCTAACCTCTCATGGGAAAGTTCATGATCGGTAAGAATTTTTAAAAAGTCATAAAAAAAATTAAATTAAAAAAGTGAAATTCCGCCGTTGTAAGCTACCCTAGATTAAGCTTTTGGTGCTTACTGCAGATCACTGCAGTATACGGACCGAAGAAATAGTGAAGTTTAGTGGAGAGTGAAACTGGAAAAGCTGCTAGATTCTGGTTGTTGTTTTAAAAAAAGGGACGATCAGCAACAAAAAGCTGAGATGGTTAAAGGGATTGTAAACATAATTTTAAATGACCCACCTGGAAAGATGGCAATGCCAGATATTTAAAACCATTCTCTGTTAAGAAATGTGAGAGATAAAGTCGTTTTTCTGATTCGAAAAGTACTTATTTCTGTAATGAAAAGTCACTTTCGGAGAGAATTCGCCAATGAAGATAATTCATTTAAAGAAACCAAAAACAAGAATATATAATTCATATTTGATCAGACAAAGCTTTTTAGGGTACCGTTGTAAATCGAACATTGCCATCTTTGAATGGATAGTCACTTCCCTTTAAATAAAAGATGAGCTCAAAGCACTATGTTGACCTTGTATTTCATTAAGGAGAACCCAAAAAGCACTATATAGACCTTGTATTTTATACAAGAGACCCCACAAAGCACCATATAGACCTTGTATTTTATACAGGAGAACCCAAAAAGCACCATGTAGACCTTGTATTTTATACAGGAGAACCCAAAAAGCACCATGTAGACCTTGTATGTTATAAAGGAGAACCCACAAAGCACCATATAGACCTTGTATTTTATACAGGAGAACCTACAAAGCACCATGTTTACCTTGTATTTTATACAGGAGAACCCAAAAAGCACCATATAGATCTTGTATTTCATTAAGGAGAACCCACAAAGCACCATTTAGACCTTGTATTTCATTAAGGAGAACCCACAAAGCACCATATAGACCTTGTATTTTATACAGGAGAACCCACAAAGCACCATATAGACCTTGTATTTTATACAGGAGAACCCACAGAGCACCATATAGACCTTGTATTTTATACAGGAGAACCCACAAAGGATGAATCTTCGACTACTAATAAAATTCATTCGCTTTTTTCATTTTTATTGGTTTTCTTCAGCTGTTTGTTTTTTTCTATTTCTTTACCATTAAAGACTAATCAATTAATACAATATTTACCAATTTTAACCTTCTATTTATTAATTCTGTGTCCGAATTTAATACATTTAAGGCGCGTCTAAAATCCCCCCAAAAAAATTGAGCGCCGGCTTAAATCTTGAAACATTGAATACAATTTTAAGGGGAACCACTCATATTTGAGCCGCGGCTCAAATTCTTTAAATTCGGCCTCAGATATCATAATCTAATAAAGGTTTATACTTGACTAAAAGTGTTACACCCATGCATAAACTACAAAAGAATGAAGGATCAAAATGCACATTTATGGTGGATCATTTATAACACTGACTTGTCTTAAAATTCATCATACTTCAAAAATATTAAAAGCAAATTGTTTATTCATTGTGGAAACTTCTCAGAGTTGAGATATCATTGAAGCTTCCATAATGTTTACGACAGACACTTTCAGCATGTAAAAATAATCTTTTTAAAGGGAAAAAATCAACTTAAAATAAAACTTTATTTTGTAAATTTTTTTATTTCACAAAACTCGACTTCCCAAATCTAAAGAGTGTTATAATACCCAGAAAGGAAGGAATAGTAAATTCTTTACTGTTAACATAGTTTGTTTATTTTTATAAGTCACAGTCAAAATTATTGATTTTTAGATGGAAAAGCGACTCCGTTGCACGCAATCCCCGCAATTCCGTGCAATTCTGCGCCATTCCGCGAATATTTAATTGATTCCGTGTTCGCAATAATACCGCAATTCTGCGCAATGAAATTCCGATGGAAACCCTACCGACAATGCAATTAGGATGGGAATTTACGACCCGAAATTTGACAAAATTCTGTCTAACGTAGACTTTTCATGTATCTTAAATGATTTTACCAAGAAATAAATAAGTTAATAGATCATTTTCATTTTGTATTTATTAATAACATTTTCACCTGTAGAATATAGATTCCCTTTATTCAACTAAGTTTTCACTAAAAATCTAACAAATTAAAAAAATTGTCTAATTTTATAAAATATGAACATTTCGCCTTTCACAAAAAATAATATTTTAGATTTTTAATTTTAAATGGGATATTTGGAGATTTCCTTAAAACTAAACAAATTTTGTACTACAGACATAATCCTTATTTTAAGTTGAAATGTTTCTTGAGCATTGATAAGAGGTTAAAGAGAGTAAAATTCAGGATAACAGCGCTCACCCAATCCATATATGAAAACACAAGTAAGACGTTTCAGTTTATAGGAAACTAGGATTCTTGTATACGAATTGGAAATATCTCTGTAGATTTAAAAATAATAAAGGCCTGATGATAACTTGTTTCAACAGTTTTCAAATTTTAAAGTTTCTTGTGGTTAAGCTACTTATTAACAATTTGATATGATACATTTTTTACTTGTTTACATTGGATAAACATTAAAATGGAAACTTTTTTTGGTTAAAATTGTAAGGTTCGTTTAATCAAAATTGGATATTTTGCTTCAGTTGCTAGATTTTTCACTGTGATTACTAATTCTGCAAATGTATATCTGTTCCCGAATATTTTAGATCCTTCCTCTCTCTGCAGTAAGCAGCTCCTAGATATGCTAGATCCTTCCTCCCTCTGCAGTAAACAGCTTCGAGATATTCTAGATTCTGCATCCCTCTGCAGTAAGCAGCTCCTAGATATTCTAGATCCTTCCTCCCTCTGCAGTTAACAGCTCCTAGATATCCTAGATTCTTCCTCCCTCTGAAGTAAACAGCTCCTTGATATTCTAGATCCTTCCTCCCTCTGCACTGCAGTAAACAGCCCCAGGATATTCTAGATCCTTCCTCCCTCTGCAGTTAACAGCTCCTAGATATTCTAGATTCTTCCTCCCTCTGCAGTAAACAGCTCCCAGATATTCTAGATCCTTCCTCCCTCTGCAGTAAACAGCTCCCAGATATTCTAGATCCTTCCTCCCTCTGCAGTAAACAGCTCCCGGATATTTCTTCCTCCCTCTGCAGTAAACAGCTCCCAGATATTCTAGATCCTTCCTCCCTCTGCAGTAAACAGCTCCCGGATATTTTATATCCTTCCTCCCTCTGCAGTAAACAGCTCCTTGATATTCTAGATCCCCCTCTGCAGTAAATAGCTCCCGGATATGCAAACATGAATTCTAATGGATCCGTTCTCCGAAAAAAAACTACTGATAATAAGAATACTATCGAGTATTACTTACGTCAAGGAGGGAAATATACACGGAGAGAATAAAACCCAACCTTGTCAGTTCTCCGCTACCGTTCCTTCCCTCTCCTACTACCTGAGCAATCTTGAAAGATTCAAAACCTAACCTTAATCTCAGTACTCTAGTATGCTGGTAATATATAATTAGTTACTTACTTCCTCTAAAACCAAATGATAACCAACTATTTTTTTTCAATATACTTATTAAACTTACTAAACTTACTAAACTTACTTAACTTACTTAACTTACTAAACTTACTGAACTTACTTAACTTACTAAACTTACTAAACTTTCTAAACTTACTAAACTTACTAAACTTACTAAACTTACTAAACTTATTTAACTTACCAAACTTACTAAACTTACTAAACTTACTAAACTTACTTTGTTTGAATTAATTATATATAAATATTTGTTCTTATTTAGGCGTCTTTATTCTACCCAAGTAATTTCTACCTGTATCTGCTGGGACCCCAAGGTATTTTATCAGTTTTTTCTTCTTAGTTTTAAAACGAATTCATGGGTTTTATCAGGGGCGTACACAGAAATTTGTCCGTTGGGGGCTGAATCCACCTAGATATAATAGTTTTCACTGTCAGGGGGGGGGGTAGTCTTCATAATACCCCCACCCTTTTTATACGCATTACGCATTTTTTTAATATACTAAATTAATACTTATTCATTCTTAATTAATACTTATTCTTTGGTTCTTAAATCATGAGTTTTTTAATCTTGAATTTTCATAAACTTTCCCATTAAAGGGGGAAAAAATTTAATTTTCTGTTGTATTCATTTCTCCTAGATTGATCACTTCATGGCTCATTAAAGTCAAATAAATACGAGTTCTTGAACTGTTTATACTTTATACCTAAACCTCCAGGAAATAAGATTTCAATCTTTAAACTAATTTACCGAACAACATTAAACATTTTATATCGTACAATTAAAAAAGATTTTTTTCAGAACTTTTTTACACACCGACCCAAATTCTCTCACAAGTAGGGGACAATTCTCTACCTCCCCTCACCGTGAAGGGAGGCTTGGACAATCTTGGGAATGGTAATATTCTTAGTAGCCTGGACAATCTTGGAAATGGGAATATCCTTAGAAGCCTGGACAATCTTGGGAATAGAAACATTTTGAAAAGAAGCTTGGTCAATCTTTGGAATAGAAATATCCCAAGAAACCTGGACAATCTTTGGAATGGAAATATTCTTAGAANAGAAGCTTGGACAATCTTGGTAATGGGAATATTTTGAAAAGAAGCCTGGACAATCTTGGGAATGGTAATATTCTTAGAAGCTTGGACAATCTTGGTAATGGGAATATTTTGAAAAGAAGCTTGGACAATCTTGGTAATGGTAATATTCTTAGAAGCTTGGACAATCTTGGAAATGGGAATATTCTTAGAAGCTTGGACAATCTTGGTAATGGGAATATTCTTAGAAGCCTGGACAATCTTGGTAATGGGAATATTTTGAAAAAAATCTTGGACAATCTTGGTAATGGGAATATTTTGAAAAGAAGCTTGGACAATCTTGGTAATGGGAATATTCTTAGAAGCCTGGACAATCTTGGTAATGGAAATATTTTGAAAAGAAGCTTGGACAATCTTGGTAATGGGAATATTTTGAAAAGAAGCTTGGACAATCTTGGGAATGGTAATATTCTTAGAAGCTTGGACAATCTTGGTAATGGGAATATTTTGAAAAGAAGCTTGGACAATCTTGGGAATGGTAATATTCTTAGAAGCCTGGACAATCTTGGAAATGGGAATATTCTTAGAAGCCTGGACAATCTTGGTAATGGGAATATTTTGAAAAGAAGCTTGGACAATCTTGGGAATGGTAATATTCTTAGAAGCCTGGACAATCTTGAGAATGGAAATATTTTGAAAAGAAATCTTGAAAATAAAGAAAAGAGGATGATTCTGAATAATGCGAAGATAGTAAAAGTTCCTAAAACTTGGCAAATCCTGAGTATACTGAAAAGAGACCCTGAGAAAGAATTCATCTTAACTGAACCCTGAATTTAAATATGCCAGACAGAACCCTGATTTAAAATATATCAGACTGAACCCTGAATTGAAATATATCAGACTGAACCCTGAATTGAAATATGCCTGAATTTTGTATTTTTCTATATCGCCTGCTGGACAGAAATGTATTTATATGATAAATTAATAAAAAAAATTTAACCCCACTGGCTTATCTTGTTTCTATAACACGTTTTTAACTTTAAAAACACGTGTAACCCCTTTTTATTTGTCAATATTTTGTATGGAAAGGTTTCCGGAATAAATGTCAGACTTCTGTTTTTGTCTAACTGACATTTATAAAATATAAATAGTTAATGATTAGAGGAGAGAAAACCATTATGCTTGACTGGAACTAGTGTTTAGAACACAACCTAGAGTAGGTTAATTATCACAATACACATCAGCTTAGGCAAATATTTAATCATGCAAAAAAAATCCAAAAAAAGTTTTGCAAACAAGGTGATATCGCAACAAGTATTTTTTAGGATATAGTTAGTTAAAATAATTTAAAAGCGAAAAAAGAATCGTAGAAAGTTTTCATCAAAAATAAATCTTTTAAACGTTTTAAAAATAAAAAGCCACATTTTTTTTTGTTTTTAAATAATGAATTAAATCTAGAAAGATCCTCCGAGGTTTGTATTGAAAGGCCTAGAGGTAGAGGTAGGGTATATCTGATGACATTTAGTTCTTATCTATCCAACATCTTCCTCAGTGCCGAGTCCTGGTACGTTTCTCAAGGTAGTAGGAACATACCAGGGAACCAGGACGAGTTATGACACATGACCTTGATATGGATATAATCGTGAGAATGAAAGAGTGTGAGATGAAGACGAATCCTTTCCAAGTTTATACGCAAGGAGATACTTTGAAATCTTCAGTTCCAGGTTTACACAGAATATCTTTAATAAAAGTCCGAACTCCTGAGATTCATCCTGCCTCCATCACAGCGTCAGTCTCGGGAATTCTCACATCTCGACATCTGGACTACTCCAAGTTTAGAACACCGAACCTGACGAAAGTTTCATCGAAAATAGACAACAAGGGTCAGGACGTTCTCAGAGGATATAAACATGTAAACCGAAACCACCTTCAACCAATATCTAAACCAAGAAATCCTGCTCAAAGTGAGATAAAACCTACTTCACGACCAGAAGAAAAGGTGGAGAAACCATCAATAAATAACGGAAAATTTACAAGTTTGCTTTATTATTTAACAACTATAATACGATGGAGTAACCGAAATAAAAATGAACCCAATACAATTTCAACAATAGAGTCTACTTCCGGAACCAAAGAAGAATACTCCGTACCTGTTTCAGAACTCTCCATCACAAACACTTACCTAGGACCCGGAGACAAGGAGGATCCCTGGGAAGAACTTTTTTCTCCTGTTGATCCTGAGACTGGTCATCTCCATCTCGAGTGCTTGGAGGAAAGTCCAAGTTCGGAAAACGACTCTCCAGACCTAATCCTAGATAAGTCAAGATCAGAAATAAGTTCCTCTGGATTCGGACTGAGGAAGGGGTTTAAAATGTTCTCCAGCTCTATCTCTCTCCCAGCCTACTCGGACAACTCATCTCTGGAAGAGGAAGAGTTAAGGATTGGTAACTCCACGTCCCTGCTCCATGTCCCCCAAACAGACGAGGGTACTCCGATGAAGAAAAAAAGTAATCTTACTCCGTCCAACCTGACGTTGAACGCCTCAAACTCGACCCTGAAATCCAGCGGAAGTTCTCCGTCCAAGGTATCTCGTGTAACCATAGATCCAGCAGCTTACGTAGACTATCCCCAAGATACCAGACCTTCCTATAGATTCCCTAAAAGGAAGACGAGCAGGAAAGATACGACAAGGATCAAGATTAAAAGGTTCCAGAGGACCTACTGCTGCTGCTGCTTCAAGGGTCAGGTGTTGGATATAAGTGACGATATCTTGGATATTCCTTGAAATCATGAAACTATTTATTCTCTAATCTAATATTGAATTCTCGATGTTTAAACTAATATTATTATTTATCCATGTTACAGATTTGATTATTTATAGAAAATGTAATTTACAACTAAATATATTTTTTAACAAAATAGAAGTTGTAATTGATAATTATATAAATGCGTCTTCATTTTAATTAAAAAATCTAAGTCTTTCATTTTTAATTATTTCTCTTCCATACTTTCTGTTTTTTCGTTCTTTTAACTTTCCTGTATTTCACTTCTACTTAATTCTGTATTTGGAGTCATTAGTACGCCTTTAAGACTGGTAACTCCACTCATTTAACACAAAAAAGAGAAAAATGAACTTTTTTGTTTATTATGGAGGGGAGGAAAGCCAGCCGCAACAATTTCTCGTCTGAGCCATATTCTCCTCACTTTCTCGTCCGAGCCACATCGGAATCCTCGTCCTTCAGTTTTAATGTGAAGTTTCCAATTCTCGAAGATCAAACTATTTTTGACAATCTGACCACGTTAGAGCATAAAATATGGGTCGACTAAAGTACTGCAATGATTATATCGTCAAACCCATATGAGAGTGATGTCAAACTTTATTTGGGTAAAACTTAAATCTCTTCTGTCTCCGTAAAGGCTAACCTGTGCAATATAAAATAAGTTGCAAAATATTTGGCATATTGTACTTTGAGTCTCTGATTTTCGCCGTGGAACCAACCGGAAAAATTCTATGGTTTTCACTATAATTAACAAAAAAGATTAAAGTTCTATTAACTAAGAATTATTTGCGGCATTCCTTTCTAGGAATATCTAAAAATGCTTTTAAAAACGGTGAACATTTTTAAGGACATTATACTCGAAAGCTTTAATTCAATTGAAACTATTAGACACGTACAAGAAATAATATTGGAAGAGCGAGGATTCCAAGGTGGCTCGGACGAGAAAATGGGGAGAATGTGGCTAAGACGATAAATTGTTATGGCTTGGCCTTCCTCCCCTCTATTATGCATCTGAGAGTTTATGAACTTTTTTCTTTTGGTAATAAGGTTATGCTTAAAATAATGCAAGAAATACATTAAGGATTAAATTTACTTTATCTTAATCTGCTTTCATAATTTTTTCTTAATTCTAACTTTATTTCTTCTTTTTATTTATTTCCAGTTACAGTTAAGCTCTTAATGTTTGTTTTTTCTTCCTTTGATACATTTTTCATTTTATATTTTAATTTTTACTATTAATATTTTACTATCTTTATTCCTATGTTTCGTCTGTAATATGTAATAGTGATTTTCATTCTGTTTCCTACAAACATATTTTCCTTTATTAAAGTCTTTATTTTTTCTTTTAATTTCTTTTAATTATCAACTCCTCTCTTTTCTTTAATTCAAGTATTTATTTTGTACTTTTCCATTTAATCATCCCCTGTTTGGTCTAGTTTAAGGGGGTTTATGGTTTTATTTTCAAAACATGTTTTTCTTCTTAATCTTCGTAAATCCTTTCATGATGAGTGAAATATAACCGTAAAAAGGAACCAAATAGATATTGTAGGGAAGAATGTCAACCTGTTAGATACCAAAAAGAACAAGTTGATAAATTAAATAGATATTGTAGGAAAGAATGTCAACCTGTTAGATACCAAAAAGAACACGTTGATAAATTAATTAGATATTGTAGGAAAGAATGTCAACCTGTTAGATACCAAAAAGAACAAGTTGATAAATTAAATAGATATTGTAGGAAAGAATGTCAACCTGTGAGATACCAAAGAGAACAAGTTGATAAATTAAATAGATATTGTAGGAAAGAATGTCAACCTGTTAGATACCAAAAAGAACAAGTTGATAAATTAAATAGATATTGTAGGGAAGAATGTAAACCTGTTAGATACCAAAAAGAACAAGTTGATAAATTAAATAGATATTGTAGGAAAGAATGTCAACCTGTTAGATACCAAAAAGAACAAGTTGATAAATTAAATAGTATCTGACTAGTTTATTGTTGGAAATCTTGATTGTTTCTTTAGTTTGAAACCTACCTATTATTAGCGCTGGTATTCGTCGGATACCTAAGTAAAATTATCTCTAGGTTTAGCTGGAAACCTAGAAATCCCAGCTCTTCATAGGTTTATTGTTCAACTCTAGCAAGCATCTAGAACGAAAACTTGTATTTAAGAAGGACTGATTTGATTTCAACTGTAACCTTTTTACGTAAAGAATAAACAAGGTACAAGGTTACCCAATAAGAATAAACAAGGTACAGGGTTACCCAATAAGAATAAACAAGGTACAAGGTTACCCAATAAGAATAAACAAGGTACAGGGTTACCCAATAAGAATAAACAAGGTACAGGGTTACCCAATAAGAATAAACAAGGTACAGGGTTACCCAATAAGAATAAACAAGGTACAGGGTTATCCAATAAGAATAAGACTTTAGAGACGACTTTACGGCATTTATTCAGTCTATTTTTGGTTCCATGAAAGGGAGTGACCGGCAATAAAAGGTAGTTGAACTGAGAATGTATTTAAGACATAAAAACGTTTTAGTTATGTAAAATTACTGAGTTTGAGCGCAAAGTCGACGTTCAAAATCATCCATTTGAGTGGTTATGTTTTAAGAATCGATTTTTTTAAAATTATTAAATAACGTCGACGAAAAATGCAGTAACAATTCTACAGTAAACTAATTAGTTGTTAAAGAACAGGTTGAGAAAATCAAAATTAACTTCTATCATCGAACAATAAGTAATATTATTCAGTTATTGGTTTCTGTAATGTCTCATTGTTCCCAAACATTTTCTGTAGATTTCCTGGAATTTTTATTGAAACGACGACATTTAAAGAATTTTCAGAAATCTGCGAACAGATTCATAAAGAATAAGAAATTCAATATAATGATGAAAAAGAAATAATTGAATCAAACATTGATTTATTGAGAAAATTTCAATGGAGAAATATGTTCCTAAACATCTAATTAGTTTACTGTAGAATTTTTTTTTACATTTTTTGTCGTCGTTATTTTATGATTTTTAAAAAATCGATTCTCAAAAATTACCTACCCAATGGATGATTTTGAACGCCGACTTTCCGCTCAAACTCAGTAATTATACATCTTAAAACGTTTTATTTGTCTCTAATGAATCCTAAAAAAAATTCGCCACAATACAACATTCTCAGTTCAACTACAAAAAATTGCCGGTCACTCCCTTTAATGCATGGTTCTCCACAACTGTAAACGTGTGTGTTCCATTGTCATATCTTCTAATATACGGTACCATTGACAAATATTAAGGTGAGAATCCAAATTCAACCTTCACATTATTGTAACCAAAGAGTTTTAGGTCGTGATTAAAGCGTTGTGGTTGAACCTGTATCTATGTTGTTATAGTAGTTTTTTTACTTCAGTAGGATAAAGTATTACTGCAACAAAGTGTGACTTCAGAAATGGATCAAAATTCAATATTTTTAAAATTCGGTGATGGTGATGGACCAAACTATATTGAGTAAATAAAGTAGATGTTAGTTCCACATTTTGTTGAAAATATATTTCGGTCTGCGTTAAACCCATGTTAAACCTCGTCAGTTCTAACAATATAATATTCCAATACAATAGAAAATTTACAACAAAAAACGCTAAACATTAACTTTATTTACCAAATATTCGAAGTGACCGCACCATCAATTTTGACACATTATTCAGCTTTCTTCCTCGTATGCGCGCTATCTTCATGAGCTGATAGTTGCTGATGTGCTTGGCAAAGTCATCTAGAGGTGGATTTGGCATTTTAAAATAATAATTTTCTACATAGTCAAAATGTTTTAAATTAATGGGATAGAAGAAAACTTAATTTGTGGATTTTAGGTACATTTCTGGGGATTTTTAAGTTAGTCCGGAAAGCTAGAATGAGTATTAATTCAAAGTTTATTTGCTTCAGTGCTATATTTCAAAATTGTGTTTTAGCTTTCAATTTTACAGCAACTTTTGAATATTATTGAAGCATTCTCAAATACTGCTTTCCTTTAATTGGTTGAAAAAATTTACTCATTTAAATTTTATAAATCGAAAAATTAAATTTGCACGAAAAAAGTCTTTTATACATTCTCTTTCTTAGCCTAAGGTTTATTTAAATACTTGTAAAATAAAATGGACTAATGACGTAATTTCAAGGAACCCTCCATTTATGGAGTGCCATGACCGATGCACAACTGTAGCTTTTAAACCTTTCCCTGGTCAAGGGTGAATAAGATATCCTTATTCTTATAGCCGAAATTTGATCACATTCAATTCTGGTTTATCTATAAAAGTGAATTGAGAATTTATGGTGCAGAGGAAATGAGAGTGTTTAATATGATTAAACATATCTTTTACATTGTTAGAAATAGAGGTTTAAAAGATACCATTTTGAATACGAAATGCTTAAATGGAGGTCTTTTGAAATTACGTGTTTATTCTCTTTAAGCTTTAAATATGTATTTAAAAATCAGTGAGTGTGCCAATATAAACTGTAGTCTGCACATGTCAATTAAATTCAAAGCTGCAATTAATTGTATATATTTATTGGATTTACATTATTTAAAAATATATTGTATTGTAAATGTCAGTGGTTCCCCTAAAGGCCAGGTGGAATATGACGTCATACTTCAAATCATTTCTTAATACTTTTCATATTACAGGAAAAATAGAAAATTATTTATTCAAGACGTCATCAAAATAATCAGATTTTCAAGCTCTTTTACATCTCTATATCATATTATTTACATATTATGTATAAATTACAGATAACATTTTGTTAATTTTCTAATTTTATTTTTATTTCAATAAATTTTCAGAATGAATGCAATGGTTAAATACAGATAATTGTTCAGAGGCCGAATTTAAAGAATTTGAGCAGCGACTTAAATTTAAGCCGCGGCTTAATTCTGGTTGGTTTCACTTAAAATTGTATCAAATGTTTCAAGATTTAAGCCGGCGCTCAATTTAAACCGGGTTTTGGCGGATTTAAGCCGCGACTTAAATTCATTAAATTCGGCCTCAGGTTAAATTGCTGTAATACAGGAAGTCCCAAAAAAATATACTTAAGTGATTTAACTTTTTATCTTAATAACATTGAATATATGGAATATATTGTGGATTATATGGATTATAGCATAGCAGGTATTTAGTAGAGAAATTTTACGCTATGAAGATAAAAAAACAAAATGAGATTTATGCTTTGAAATTTAAAAAAATGCTAATGTCAAAGGCAGTTAAAGAATGAAAGGAGGTGTAAAAAGAATCCGAATCTGCAAATTGGGTACAGATCGGTACTATTTTTATTTCTATATCCGATGTTTCTTTGAAGAAAAATAATTAATAATGGTTTTCAAACATAAATTTAATATCAACTTAAAAAGGAAATTATTCGATAAATACTGCATTGAACTCAGGTTCCTCATTTTCAATTACAAATTACGAAATACCGAATTTGATTCTGCCGATTTATCGTCTATGACCCTTAACATTTTTATAATACTTTGTTAATGTAATAATGTAACATAGAAACATTGCAACCACATAAATTTTGATGATGTATGGGTTAAATAATAAATAAATATTCTTTAAGCATATTGAAAAATATTTCAGTGCTTTAGGGGCAGTCCCCTTAATGTACGCAATCCCTTATTTTTTCAGACGGATTAGCTTTTTTCTGATGTTTCTTTATATTACTATTTTGTAACCTCTCTTATCACTAAATCATTAATAAAACTCAGATTTGATCGATCTCCTGGGAAATAAACAAAATTGAAGCAATTTCTCAACATGTTTCCGGTTAAAACTTTTTCTAGTTTTATAATTTTATTCTTTTTTTTGGAACGTCTTATAGTTTATTTTAACTCTCTTTATCATGAACCATTGAGCCCTGTGTTTTATAGATCTAGTTACGCGAAAGACTAACGGGTTTTTTTAAACGGAAGACTCAGAGTTAGCTCTTCTCCGTCCTGGAGTGTCTCTGGCATAGGTTGTCCGAGAGTCTCTGGAAGTAGTAGTGCCGTGAGTCCGGAGACAAGAGCGGATACTCCGAAGAGACAAGGAGAGTATCGTCCTAGAAGAAGAAGGTACGGAGCAAGCATGGTTCCTAATCTGCTGACAACTACACAAAACCCCATTCCGACTCCGCGAACCACGGTTGGGAACTGCTCCGCAGAAAATAGATTCAGGATTGTATAGGAGCAGTTAGCAGCAAATCTGCCGATGATAGATATTAGTATTTTGAGTCGTGGATAGGTTTCAGGGATGAACGGATGAGTGAATAGAGCTGTCCCGGCCAGGATTAGAAACATGCACATGGAGTTCTTTCTCCCAAACGCAGGTCTCTCCAGGGTGAATATAACGTAAACGTATCCGGGTAATTGAACAGCAGCAGTCATCAGAAACCCGATATATTTATCCTAAAAAAATATTTAAAAACATTTAAAATTTTTTTTCATAAAGAATATAAAAAGGTATAAGTAAGATGTCTAAAAAAATAAACTTATTTTTATTGAAGATCTAACATCGTCTCTTTATAATATGGAGTTTATCATAAACTAATTTCTCTAGGTACCTCAGATAGCTCTGACTGATCCAGAAGTAGAACATAGTACAGGCTTGCACATGTAACCCAGCACAGGATTAGGATTAATGTTTTCCATCGGAGCACTGGATACCTAATTATCAATCAATATAGTTTTTGTCATATCTGGCATCCTCTCTCACCTCCTTTCCCACATTTTTCTATATTCATCATCTCCCTCTTCCTACCTGCCTCTTCCAACCTGCCTCTTCCTACCTCCCTCTTCCTACCTCCCTCTTCCTACCTGCCTCTTCCTAACTCCCTCTTCCTACCTGCCTCTTCCTTACCTGCTTCTTCCTACCTCCCTCTTCATTCCTCCCTCTTCCTACCTCCATCTTCCTACCTCTCTCATCCTACCTCCCTCTTTCTAACTCCCTCTTCCTACCTCCATCTTTCTACCTCCCTCTTCCTTCCCCCCCCCCTTCCTCCTTCTTCACAGTAATAGAGTGTAGACACACAATAAGGTCTAATCACAAATTGTTTCCAGAACTCAAGAGTCAGCAACAAGGTCGGAAGAATGATTTAAAATTTTTGCAAATGTCGTCTTCACCTGAACAGATCTACAGCAGTATATGTTTTCTCCGTCCTCTCTTCTCCGAGTTCGTGTTTTATACTCAGCTCCATCTCATGAATTAAACTCTCATCGATCGTAACCTTCAAATTATATAAAGGTGTTCCATGATATTGGATCGGCCATAGCTCTTTATTGGGAGTTTTGGGACATAACAAAAAAATTCTAACATTAAATCTTTCTAAAAAAAAATTATTTTACGTGTGTAATGTACTACTTACAAAAAAAATACAGTATTCTATACGGTTTTCTGGAGGAAATCCGATATGATAGTGTATGCTGTGGATAACGATGTGAATGATATCAAATTGCTCCTTCGCAAAAAATACTAACTAAAAAAGTCTAAATTAAGATTTTAAATTGCTTCTTCAGAACCCTTTCAAAATCTAGAAATATACCTTTTCTAATTTAATTCACTTTATCACTGGAGAAGAGAAACTATTTTTTGTAGTTGAGAAATGACAAAAACTTGGTTCTATCTATGTTCATCTATTAAAATCAAAATTAACTCTGAAACTTTACTTTGTTTTATAAAACATTGAATTTTTATCTTTACATTTTCAAAACTATATTTTTTTATTCTAGAAAATATTTTTGTGTCTAAATAGTAGAATATAAAATTACAAACACTTGAATTAACGGACATTTTATGGAAAACATTTTTAATAATAAATTATTTTTATCAAAATAAAATCCAGTGTGAAAATGTTCGTGAAGAAAGGGAAATAAGGAAAACATTTCACATTTAAAGGGCAAATACATTGTATACATTTTTTATGAGAAGCAATCCACTCAATACACTAATACAATATACATAGTTTACATACATATACAATATTCAATGTATATATGTATACATTCTTACATTAGGATTGTGATTATGAACTTGTGATTATAAAATTGTGATTATTAACTTGTGATTATGAACTTGTGATCATGAACTTATGATTATGATGTGATGTCTTATAGGTATCGTTCAACTCCTGAGATTCTCAGCTTTCAGCCTATACCCCCTTTAATTCCGATAAAACTGATAAATTTGACTTTTAAATCCTTGAAGGGACTGTAGACGTAATTTTAAGTGTCCGTCCATTTGAATGTCTGATTGCAACGATACCCTTTATATCGTTGTCTGATCAAGGATGACGGAGTATTTACTTTGTAATTGTAAATGCTGAACATTCTACTGTTCTACGGGCCACTCCGGGCACTTCAACTAAATAATAATTTAATACTAAACACGTGTTAACACCGGGAATATTAAACACGTGTAAACACCGGGAATATTAAACACGTGTAAACACCGGGAATATTAAACACGTGTAAACACCGGGAATATCTTTGACTTGAAATTACACCTATAGTCCCTCACGTCAATACACGATCCACGAGATATAACTTCGTCTGAAGCAAGGTACTAATGCAAGGAAAGTTAATTGTGGTCGCGTATACCCTGCGAACATATTGAAACTAGTTCTCACTGGGCGGAATTTGTAAACAAAAATAGATGCATCAGTACGTTCGTCTAGTATCCGAGGAGGAGAAAAGCATTAAATTTTGATAATTTTGAAAATGTACATAATAGTTTCCTATGACAAGAATATTTCATAGATTATTTATGTGAAAATGGATTCTATGTCAGGCTGTGACATCCGTCTTGTGTTTACATTTCCGCCCAAAGACAGTACACTGCAGTACAAAAAAGCGTACACCTCTGAAATAAATTTCCTTGCATTAGTACCTTGGTCTGAAGTATCGATGGCTTAATTCGATGCAAAGCATCTTTTAATACCTTGTTCCTGTTTGCTGCTTTGTAAATTAGTTTCCTTGCTTCTTCATTCCTTCCTCGTGCTACTAACCAGCGCACTGTACAAATATATTAATTCCTTCCTCGTGCTACTAACCAGCGCACTGTACAAATATATTAATTCCTTCCTCGTGCTACTAACCAGCACACTGTACAAATATTCCTTCCTCGTGCTACTAACCAGCACACTGTACAAATATATTAATATTAAGAACGAGGAAAATTAAACTCCGTTAACCTATCTTGTTGTTGTTTGAAAGGTTGCTCCAAAAAAAAAACATTTGTATTGATTAGATACTCTCCGTTGATCATTTTAATTTTTGGTTTTCATTGTTATATAATGATGTTGATCAAATACTACAGGGAACCAGATTTAATGAAAAGAAAAGAGTAGCTTAACCACACAGGTGTAGTTCAACCACTTATCTTTTGTGTCAGTTTAGCTGTGCAATTTAAACGAACTGTAAGCGTAATTTCAAGTGATCCTCCATGCAAAGATGTCAATGGTTTCTATACAAAAGTGTCTTGAGCATTTCTACTCTAGAAAAAGATACAGGAATTATCAGAATCATACACTTTTAAGCCTACAAAATTGACAATCTCTTCCACATTATTAACTAGATAAAGGTTGTCATGAATCGGGCATTGCCATCTTTGCATGTAGGGCCTAGATATCTATGATATGATATGATATGTATATCTATGATGAGGGCCAATTTAAATTACGCTTGTACACTCTCTTTAAACTTGTCTCGTTTTACTTTACATAATAATAGAGAGCATGTCCTGATTTTAAAAAGATTGTACAGCTCTTTTAAAATTTGGAAGAGATTAACAAAAAAGTAAAAAATATCATTCATTAAAAAAAATTTTGTTTGACACAATCTTGGAAACTAAATTTTATTAATTTTAAAAGTTCAAACTTTTCCAAAACGAAAAAAAACTTGATTAATCTTGTTATTATTTGATGTTTTAAGAAAATACTATAAAATCTTTTCATTATTTGATATTTTAAGAAAATACTATAAAATATTTTCATTTTGTTACTTAAAACAAAAAAAACACGAGTTTTATACTTCTTAATCTTAAAATCTTAATTCATTATAGGAAAATGCAATCTTTAGTAATAAATATTGATTTATTGATTATTATCGGCGTCGGAGGCAATAAATTATTCTTCCAATCTTTTTTACTATATAATCGTTCCTCTCTGTAAAAATAGGGCAATCTTTTGTAATTTCAAAGTCACACAAAAACTGGTTCAATTCCGTAAAGGAACTGACTTTCCGTATCCTCTAATTTTCTAAGAATTACAGCTTTGCAACCTGCTCTGAAAACTTTAGAATGAGATATCCTTAATCCCGATTACTTAATCTGAGTATCCAATGGACAACCTTTTGATTTTCTTCTTAATCAGTTCTTTCTTGGATATAGTAGAGAGAAAAATCAAAAACAGTTTTTTTTATAAATTAGTGAGTCCCTCTCGTTTCTGTATATAATCTTTAATGGCGCGCAAAATTTCAAATTTATCGGCCTTATATACGCGACTCTGATTGGTTGAATTTATACATTTTTTAGGAATGATTTTGTAGATCTTTGATATTACAAACTATGGATTCTCTGCTCGATCTAATAAGTAAAGTTTGAAAAATTAAAGTTTTACATCAGTAGATTGCAGTAATATTGGGATTAAAAAATTAAAGTTTAGGACGATCGTGATTAGTTCCAAAATTGGTTTGAATACGAACAAAATATGATTCGGTTAATCGTTATACTGGACGAGACGAGAATATTCGTTATCCTAGACGAGACAAGAATATTTTTTTTTCAGTTTTCAGCTAGATCCGTATGATACAGTGATAGCCAGAAAACAATGCAATATGAAGACAACATGTATTTGATGTTTTTACAAAGCAAATAGTTTTACTAGACACACTTATTAAATAACTAATTTAGTGAAATTGGTCTGATTACACTTTACAGTTGCTGTGTCTTATGCTCACTGGACTTTATATGCTTATAAATTGATTCTAAAAGTCGTCTTTCTATTTCAAAGTTTCTGGTTATTACTGTATACAGAGTTACCGACAAAGGACGAGACGTTTATGACGACTGGGGTTTCTATCCTACAATATATTCAATTAACAGAATATTTAATGATTTGACTGGGGTTTTTATCGTACAATATATTCAATTAACGGAATATTTAATGATTTGACTGGGGTTTTTATCCTACAATATATTCAATTAACGGAATATTTAATGATTTGACTGGGGTTTCTATCCTACAATATATTCAATTAACGGAATATTTAATGATTTGACTGGGGTTTCTATCCTACAATATATTCAATTAACGGAATATTTAATGGTTTGGCAAAGAATGAAATAAGAGTGAACGAATTCCGTACAGTCGTCTCTGACGTCGCATTCTTTGTGGTTAACCCTTTATTTGCCGTATGTATGCTTCATGCAGGGCTTTTAAGCTTTAAATTTGATATAAAGAAAGATTTCTTTACAATGACATACACTTAGATAAAGTTATACAGAATAAAGTGAAATTAAAGTCGTCTTCTGCATCTTTCAAGTAATTACGTCGTTAAAAAAATTCTTTCTTTTTCTGCTTATCATTGTAAACTAAAATAACAGAATATTTTGGATAGAACGGGAAAATTGTTAAACCTGATTCTGGAGCTATCCACCAGTACACGAGGCAGAGTAGAGCTGGAGCTGAATACACAACCTGGAGTAATCTCCAGTTCTCCTGGAGCAAATACGCCAGAGCAACAGTACACAGCAAACCTAGACAACAAATCCACTATGAATTCACAGAACGACGTAAAAATTTATTATGATTTTGCCAATAATATTTCTTCAAAACTGAAGTTATAAAATTGGATAAGCGAGAAAACCAGGTGAATACATGGCCTGTTCAAATTTCAAATTCGGCCCGGTCTCAATAGTTGATACATTTGTATAGCTGTTCAGATCATATCCAGTTCTATCTAAAAAATTAGCCGGTTTTTAAAAAAAGGGCCAAAGAATGTGATAAACTATGAGAGCTTTAAAATATGTAATATGTAAAAATATGTGTATTTTATATGTACACTAGCTATCAGTGTACTGTGTTACCCAGAGATAAGAGAATGTTACTAAAAGCCCTATAGCTATCCAACCCGTAACACTTAGAAAGATGTAAGCAAAAGAAAAATGTTACATTGGCTTCTAGGGTAACATACATACACTCTTGGAAAAACCCCGAACATTTCTTTGAAATAACCGATGGTATTTCAAAATCTTATTAAAATATAAAAATATTTTCTTATTTTTTTTAAAAAAGAATATCGCATAAATTTGACCTTCATGTTCTCTCTGGTTCACAGTGTAACATTCTGTAATCAACTATTTAAAGAATGTTAGGTTATTTTCCTAACCGTGTAAATTTCAAACTATGATTTCAAATTAAAAACATAATTGTTTTAATCTAAATCTTGCAACGTCGTCGGTGTCGTGCGTGGAGTGCCTACCCTGCATGAAGTGCCTACCCTGCACGGAGTGCCTACCCTGCAGGCTGCATGGAGTGCCTACCCTAGTCAAAGTACTTTCATACATCTTTGAACTGTTTCCAAACGTTTTTTGTCGTTACTTAGTTATGTTTTTTGGGACACCCTGTATAGAGATAGAGAAAATATTGTTGTTAAGCACACTTATAGAACAAAAGGATGAATTTGTCTTAAAATTCTCAATATCAAATATCTAGATTTGTCAAATTTAGTAATACGATAAACAGCAAAAGAATTTGACCAAAAATGCTCTTATTTCGGAAATTTAATACTTCTCGTAGTTAATAGTACCCTTATTAATTCAATTTAATTAGTGCCACAAAACATATATTTATTTCTTTGAGCTTAAAGCTTTGTTGCAACGGTTGTATTCTTTATACAACGCAATTGAGATCTTAATAACTTAATTTCAAATATATTTTTATCATTGTATTGCACTTTTCTTTAAGAGTAACTGAAATATTGACGCCTAATAGATTTTATCAATAAATCAATAGTTTAACAGTACTTGATCCTATATCTCCAACTGGAAAGCTGACATTTCGACAATTCAATTGATTTTTACAGTGCGCAAATAAAGTTGCAAGCGTTCTGTTTGAAAACACATGGGGGGGGGGAGGGGAGGATTTATAAAATGCTAAATTTGAATCATGCTTACTGAATCGTTTACAGTATTTTGAGTAGGTTTGGTTAAATCAGTTTTTGTAGTTTTGTTTAAAACTTTCCTGTTCTTGAAACATTTTATTCATTTGTAATTCATTTCATTTTCATCTTTTTTTTAATTTGAAACAAATGCATTAAATAAAATTCAAAAAAGAGATTTATTCTATGAATTCAATACAAAGCTCTCCTCATATTGATCAGAAAATGATTCTAAAGTTCTAGAATTGTGTAGAATTCGGAGCTGGGGTTTTCAAATGAAATGTAAACAAATAATTGATTTTCTGTTGCTTTTATCATCAATTGATCTAGATGCATAAATACAATACAGGGGCACATATTTCTCAATACAGACAACTAGAAGGGGGAAGGGTATCATTTACACCCCCCCTCCCCTCCAACATGAAAATGAAATTAAATAGCTAACCTCTCTAAAAATTGAAGGAAACTATAAGAATGTTTTAATCAGTGAACTTTGTCAACTAAAAAATGTTTGACCTTTTTCAGGGGACTGAGACGGTGCACTTTGACCTTTTCAGGGGACTGAGACGGTGTACTTTGACCTTTTCAGGGGACTGAGACGGTGCACTTTGACCTTTTTAGGGGACTAAGACGGTGCACTTTGACCTTTTCAGGGGACTGAGACGGTGCACTTTGACCTTTTCAGGGGACTGAGACGGTGCACTTTGACCTTTTTAGGGGACTAAGACGGTGCACTTTGACCTTTTCAGGGGACTAAGACGGTGCACTTTGACCTTTTTCAAGGAACTTAGACGGATCACTGTAACCTTTTTCAGGGGGATCGAGAACGGAACACTTTGAACTTATTTTCGGAGGATCAAGTTGGTATCACCTTGACCTTTTTCGGAGGATCAAAACGGTGCGATTTGAACTTTTTTTGGTGGATCAAAATAGTACGCTTAAAAAAATTCGGAGGATCAAACGGCACGGTTTGACTTTTTCGGTGGATCGAGGCGCTTTGACCTTTTTTGGGGGGATTAAGACACTAAACTTTAACTTTTTTAGGAGGATCGAGACAGTGAGCTTTGAAACAGTACACTTTTAACTTTTTTTCATAGGATTGAGACGGTACACTTTTAACTTTTCTAAGGATCCAGACGGTACGCTTTAACATTTTTCGGAGGATCGTGACAGCACGCTTTCAACTTTTTTTAAGGACCCAGACGGTACGCGTTAACATTTTTTGGAGGATCGTGACAGCACGCTTTTGACTTTTTTGATGAATCGAGGCTCTTTGACCTTTTCTTAGAGGATCGATATTCTAGACTTTGACCTTTTTCAGTGAATCAAGACGGTTCACTTTGACCTTTTTTTTCGGAGGATCGAGGCACATATACTTTTAATCTTTTACGAAGGGTCGTGATGCTTTTGATTTTTTTGGGGGGGATCTAGATGGTACACTTTTAACTTTTTTTCGGAGAACTAATCCTTAAAAATATGTTAAAATCAGGTTTACCTGTTGTCTCAAAGAACCAGCAGAGTATTCCGGCCAGGGTTCGTTTACTAGGACCAACCAGCTCCATACCCATGACGAAACAGGAGGCTTCGATCCCAGCTATAGCGAACCCTGTCAAGATCCTCGCAGAGACAAAGCTAAATCAGGGGGTCAGTCAAATTCAACATTTTGGATGGCCTTGATTTCTGCGGAATGATGGTTGACTTCGTAATGCGCACAACAAGTGAAGTTTCCGAAAGAAAATTTTTTTTGGCCCATTGTGCTTGCAAATTAAATTTCAAGTTAAGTTAAGTTAAGTTAAGTAATATTATTAGGCAATGACTTTTTCTCACAAACTCAGATTTTCCAATCGTTGCAACCCAATGGCGTTAACCTTTGATTTTTTAAACTAAAAGTATAATTCTCTGTTTGAAATATCAAAGGTTTATACCATCAGGTTGCAAAGATATAAAGATTAGAAAATTTGAGTTTGTGACAATATACATCGAATTTATGGTCCATGTTCTGACATTTTTAAACAATTTAAGTTATTTTTTTGTTGGATTTTAAAACCATGTCGTTTAGGAACTGACATTACTCTTACTGTTATATATTTGTATGTATAGATATTATTTAGGAGAATTTGAAAAAAAAACATAAAGTTCAACCTTACTCTGGTCTGGTTAGACTTAATGTCACAAACACAGGTTTATACTTTGATGTAGTCCAGTAGGTGATGTTTAAATACTGAGACTTTGATGTAGTCCAGTAGGTGATGTTTAAATACTGAGACTTTGATGTAGTCCAGTAGGTGATGTTTAAATACTGAGATTTTGATGAAGTCCAGTAGGTGATGTTTAAATACTGATACTTTGATGTAGTCCAGTAGGTGATGGTTAAATACTGAAACTTTGATGTAGTCCAGTAGGTGATGTTTAAATACAAAGATTTTGAAGTTGGAAACCATTTTATGAATTAATAATAATATTAATAAATAAATGATGTGGGTTGGTAAATATAAGTTCATTGTTTCATGAAATCATGAGTTTAAGGAATAGAACTGTAAAAGAACTATTTGGTCTTGTAAAAGAGGACCACTAGGTAGAAATAGTAAAACCACCTCTCTTGCACACCGGTTCAAGTTAGATATAAGTTCAAGTTATTCTACGTATCATACTACATTTCGCTACCCATGTATCGGAATTGAGTCCTTCTTACAAACTCTGAATCTCAAAGTCATATATCTTTGCAACCCAACGTTGTAAACCTTAGATTTTCTAAACTATGAATTATGTTAGATCACAAAATTTTAGTTTATAAATATCAAAAGCTTAGACAAATATATTAGAAAGGTTTTAGAAAATATCAATTCCTTTGATCCCAATAAATATTAGAAGAAGATACCCAACCTAACAAACTCCGGAGCTAGAGCTGCAAGGATCCCTCCACCTGCCATCAATATATTAGCGATGAAGTAGGTTGGTTTCCTTCCAAACTTATCCGTCAGTACACCAAATATCAACCCACCTAGAACATGAACCGATTTATCTATGAACTATACCAAATATCAACCCACCTAGAACATGAACCTATTTATCTATGAACTATACCAAATATCAACCCACCTAGAACATGAACCTATTTATCTATGAACTATATCAAATATCAACCCACCTAGAACATGAACCTATTTAACTATGAACTACCAAATATCAACCCATCTAGAACATATTTCTGAAAGCTTAGACTACCAATTGTCATACAGAAGAAACTAAAAAGCTTTCAATGTTTACAGCCTTTGAAGTTTTAAACGTAAGTAAATTTGATATACTAAAAATGTTTTCAGAATAAGAATTTATTTATTTATTTATTCAAAGTCTCATGTGTATGTGTGTTTGTTTTTAGAGAACCCAAAACCCCACCTTCGTTTCTCCAACTCTGTTTCATTTAGTTAAATTTAAATATTCTGATTTTAAGATTTAAATCAATACTGGCCTTTACCCCTGTTCCACCTCATTTATAATTAACAGTTCACTAATTACAAGCCGTTCTCTACCTACCTCATTAAATCTTCACTTTCGTCAACCTAATGACATATGATTGAGGAGGGAGGGGCGGGGATATATCTTTTTATTAATCTTTAAATAATAACAGTTTAATCTAAAATAAAAAACTCTAGAACATTTTATTGTCTGTCTGTTTTTAATTTTAGTTGTTCACATAATCGTAAAAGTTGAAAAAAATATTGAGCAAACTTTTTGTCGCATATTTACTGAAAAAATTTAGAGTTACCCCCAAAGAAAGAGACTCAAATGACGACCTAAAACCTTCTCCATATCTTTCTTATGGGTTCCATGCGGTCTTTTGCATTTAATGAGAGAAAACAGTATAATAATTTTACAATTTGCACTAAAAAGGCCCAAATAAAACTTAAATAAAAATTGCTTAACTTGCTAAAGCCATTTCACAGTAAGAAAAATATGCATTACTCCATTGGATATTACAGAAGATCACCAATGTAATTGAAAACATTTTTATCCTCGATTTATCTAGGTTTTTATCCTCGATTTATCTAGGTTTTAATCCTCGATTTATCTAGGTTTTTATCCTCAATTTATCTAGGTTTTATATCCTCGATTTATCTAGGTTTTTATCCTAGATTTATCTAGGATTTTATCCTCGATTTATCTAGGTTTTATCCTCAATTTATCTAGGTTTTTATTCTCAATTTATCTAGGTTTTCGTCCTAGATAAATCAGACATTTTTATCTTCGATTTATCTAGGTTTTTATTCTCGATTTATCTAGGTTTTATATCCTCGATTTATCTAGGTTTTTATCCTAGATTTATCTAGGTTTTTATCCTCGATTTATCTAGTTTTTTTCCCTAGATTTTTCTAGGTTTTTATCCTCGATTTATCTAGTTTTTTTCCCTAGATTTTTCTAGGTTTTTATCCTCGATTTATCTAG